TGGGCAACTTGTCAAATGAAAAAGGGTGCATCTACTGTAAGAAGATGGGAGGATCTGGACACTGACATATTGGTGAAAATCTTCATGTCTTTTGATGTCTTCCAGTTGACTTTTGGGATTGCTCATGTTTGTAATTCATGGCGTTCAGCTTGCTGTGATCCTCTGCTTTGGAAAACTCTTGATTTGTCAGTGTTGAGATCAAATTTCATCAAAATCCCATTAGAGCCATATGTTTATGTGGATGAGTGTTCTGATAAGACATTGACTTGTTTGTTGAAGATTTCGTTGAGTCTCAGCCGAGGATACATAAGAACCTTGATTTTTCACTTCAATTTGTATGTAAGGGACAAACAATTTACTTATATTGTTGAAAGGTAATTTTTTTATGTTTCTGTTTAAAACCTTGCTGAAGGGTAATTTTTTTTATTCTCACTGTTTATTGACCGAGTCTTTGGCATTGCCTTTGGTACCAGTGATCATCATTTTTAATTTTCTTTTTGGCACAATGAATTGGGAAGTAACCCACCATATATTGTTGTCTGCAGGTTACCCCAGCTAAGGCGTCTCGTTATGCTAGCTTGGAACAAAATAAAGAAGGATGTAATTTGCAAGGCCATTCATACATGGAGATGTCTTGAATCCTTGACAATGCCTAGTATAGTAAATATGCCTTATCTTATACAGGAAATAGCCCTAAATTGCAAGAACTTTAGTGAACTCAAGGTCATGGGCCTTTTTGACATTATCTTTGCTTCTACGATAGCCAAATTTCTTCCAAATTTGAAGATTTTGAGCTTGAGATGCTCAGTGATGGTTAAGGATGCCCTAATGCTTATATTGGATGACCTACCAAACTTGGAAGTCCTCAACATATCATATTGCCTTCTTATAGAAGGTCCATTACTTCCTCCACTAACGCCTGAAAAAATTATTAAGAAGCTAGATAAAATTATCTTGCAGAAGGCTACTCGATTATGTGAGTTCTTAACATGTACTGAGCACTCGTCATCATGTGCCAGCATACTCAAAGTGAGGAAGGCTTTATGAGGTGGTGCAAGTATGAGGAAGGCCTATGGAAAATGGATGAGGCAAGGTCTCTTGCTCTTTGATTAGAACATGTAAAGACTGTAATTTTAACATTTTGTTTTTCTTATATGTAATATCTACTAATATGTTGTTGAATAAGCATATATAGAATCAATCCGTGTGTTTTAGGTTGACATCCTCCTAATGCTTTCGTTTTAGGTCGTCAACATTGTAGTACTTGCATGATGATCTTTTCCCATGGGAAAAGTATTATCTGTCTGCATAATTATGTACATATGGTAAAATTTCACTTTCTTTTGCTTCAAGTTGATCTTTTGTTGTCCATTAATTTTATTTCAAAATGAAGTGGTTTCAAAGTAATTGAGTATTTTATCTGTTTCTAATTCATGTTATTTTATGTATGGAATCATTATTGCTTATATTATTGTTTGAAATTCTATTGATTTTGTAATTGTTAGTGTCAAATTCATTTCTATTGTCAGGTTTAGTACTTGATAGTGAGATTTTGAAGGAATCTTTGATTTTCCCTTCTCTTATACTTTTATGTTAAGTTATAGTGACATTGTTTGACTCAAACGGTAATATTAAAGTTTTGTATTGCGTTGTTGTTTTGGCTTTGTAAAATTCGTAAGTGATAAAAAACATTGTCATTTAAAATGCTATTGATATTTAAAGTAAATATGCGGATTTAATATTCAGTATTTTACTTGAAGTAAATTTGGGGATTTAGGGTTTTCTCTGTCATTTTCGACATTAAAGGCATTTGTCCCAGTCCGTTTGTCATGTTTTCCACGTTTGTCTTTTCTCATTGATTGAAGTTGAGATAAGTAAAGTAAATTTTCTTTAGTTACAGTGACAATGTCGTTTTTTATTTTACATTGGTCTAATTAATTTGTCATCGATTTTAACTTTGATTAAAGTGCATGTTATTCTTACGAAGTTCTGAGATTTGTTATTTTTGTTATAAGAAGTTGTTGTTAGATGGTTGTACTGATAATTTGTTGTGCTCAGGTTGTTTATTCATTTATCTGATAGTCGTGTTGCAGATTATTTTCTCAGTAAATTTACTCCTGAAATTGGTGTCTTTCTTATAACGATATTGTTTGTTCAGGTGAGGTAGTTTATTTGTTGTTCTAGTAGTCGCGTTGCACATTATTTTCTTGGTAAATCAACTGTTGAAATTGGTGTTTTTCTCATTACGATTTTGTTTATTATCTTGTTGTATTTAGTTTGTAATACTGTCATTGTTTTATGAATTGATGCTATGAAATGCCAGTGGTATAAATGCTTCAGAAGTTACCATCATTGTTATCATCTAATTATCTATTTATTTTTCGGAACACTTGCCAAGATTTTGGTGTTCTCTATAGTACATTTGAGATACTGTTGTTTTAATGAGAATTGTAGCAGTTGGAGTCATATATGGTGAGTATATCAATAGCAATTTGATATAGTGCTTGTATGTTATTCTATTTTCGAATCAGAATCACCAGTTGTAATGTTGTGTCTTTACCAAGTATCATGAAGAATAAATGTCTCCCAAGTAATAACAAAGTCTTACAATTTCTATTAAGTTGACTGATTGTCTGTTTTCTCTATTTTTTTTTATTTGATGATATTTTCTTTTCATTGTAGTATGGCTTCCAAAAACTTGATGAAATTTATTCGAAGACTTGATTCTGAAGTTCTGTAAAAGGAGGATCAAGTAGTGATTCCAAGTCAGAATTGTTAACGCTTTACAAACTCCTGTTTTACCTACTTCAGTCTCCAATTCTGTGAAACCTGATTCTGGTTCCTGCCATGTTAAATTGATTAAAAAGAAGATAATCAGTCATAAGAAATTCCATTACGTAAATTGGTGAAACGGTAGAAAACCTGTTAGCAAGAGGGTTCAAATACGAATTCTGAATGAAAATGGAAAAACCTTTCTAAAGAAGAGCTAGATAGCGAAACATTTGGCCTAGGGAAAGAGATAACTTTTTTTCACTTTATCACGTGAATATATAATTTATTTGGTACAACAATGTTAAGGTGGTTTCATTGGTTTTGAAATAGGTTTATGAAGGTTTCTTAGAAATTAGAGAACATTGGCTTGTTTCAGAAGATGTGATCTCAGATTTGAAAAAACAAAATAAAGATGTGATTTCTGAGGTTCATAGATTGGAAGAACAGTTGAAAATATCAAAGGAGGTGTTTGAAAAGGTCAAGACCGAATGAAAACATTGTCAAGAATAATTTAGAAATGCTGAATAGTCTTTTGCAAATGAGCGGCAGCAAAAGGAACTCTTTAAAAAGAAAAGTAATGAATTGTCTGAAGAAAATGATAACATCAAATTTTTAATTGCACAAACTGAGAAAGATAAAGAAGAGGCTTATGATTCGGTGTCAGAAATGTTTTTGGCCACCAGAAGACAATTGTGTTAAAAAATGAGAAGATGCCGCCTAATAGAGATTATATTGACTGCAATGTTGTTGTACGTTTCTCTGGTCCATTTAAGGGCATCTCCACCCCAATGCCAAAACACCAAAATGGTGTGAAAAGTGTGCTCCAACCCAACGCCAAACACTACACCAATTTGGTGTGGCACTGTTCAAAAACTATAAAATATATTTTATTTTTTTATTTAATTTTTGTTATTTGTATTTATGTTAATTTGATTATTATTTATATTAATATTTATAATAATAAATTCATAATAATTATATAATTCAAAAAATGATGAAAAATCAAAAACAAAACTTTATTCAATGCAAATATTAAACTACAATAAATCAAAATAAAAATTAACACTAATTTAAAAACATAAAATTAAAAGAAAACACAACATAAACTAAAATAACAATTTAGTATTCCGATAGATTAGTTCTGGATCCTCTAAGAGCATCAAAATATTAGAAAGAACTAGAGTTATTTTGAGATCCTTGACCTTGTTGTTGAGCTCTTTTTTGCATAATTCTTGGTTGCTCATTTTGAAAAAACGCATGTAAGCTTTGATCAGTTATGGAATTCAAATCCGAAAAATTAAATTACTATCACTATGAAATTTTACTTTTGTGTTGTTGTTGTCTTTTTTTTTTTTTTTTTTTTTTTTGGTAGCATTTTAAATTAGATGTAATGTTTTTTAATATTAAATGTAATGTTTATTTGATTAAATAAATGCTTAATTTTATTAAATTAGTATAATTTTCAAAGTAATTATTATTTAATAAAAATATCATTCCCAATATTTAATTAATATATCCAAAAATAATTAGTGAAATATATTAATTGTTGATTATTAATACAAAGAAAAAGAAAGAGAATATTCTTTTTGGTGTAATATTTGGTACAATGGGTTGGAGATGCAATAATGAAACACACCAAAAATCGCACCAATTTGGTGTGAAACTTGCACCAATTTGGTGTTTGTGGTTAGAGTTGGTCTAATGCCACTTTTGTAAATTTTTATACTGTTTGTTAATTATTTTGACAGTATTTGCCAATATTTTGACAATATTTGCCATGCAAGTGTTTATAGTTGTGTTATTATTACGAACGTGGATGTATTCAATTGATGCTAATTTTTGTGTATGTCTCCAGCCCATGTAATGTTACTTCTGTAAATATTTAAACTGTTTAATTGTAATATTGATGTTAAATATCTTGACGATGTCTGTCGAGAGTTTGTGGTTGAGTTGCATATGTAAAAAATATGTATTTATAACACATAATACATATAATGTAGCATTCATTGTATCTGACAATAATAATATAAAACCTATAAATATCTTTGTATCGAAGAATTTATGTTTCTGTATATATTTAAACATTTAATGTGACATTTTCATATTCATATAAATATCTTTAATTTTTCACATTAATCTCTCATAAACAATGTCTTATATTATATACAATGTATCAATCCTTTATATTATAGACAATGTTTTATATTATATATAACATATCAATCCCTTCAGTTGAACACTTCTTTGAAAACAATATTTGTCAATGTCTCTGTCGGTTCATCTTGTTGCAAGGCTAGCAAAATCTTGATACCTTGTCTTGAGGTTACTCTTGATTGTGCGACGTATAATTGACCATGTGTAAAGACCTGATGTTTCATATACAATCCAACTGTTTTGAGTGATTGACCTTGGCTTTTGTTTATTGTCATACAAAAGCTAACTGTCATAGGTAACTGTCTTCTCCTCAACCTAAAAGGCCACTTCATATCTGCTTTCGACATTATTATTCTGGGAATTGTAATAATATCCCTAATATTTGACCCAGTAATAATCACTGCTTGTATGGACCACTTTTCTAAATGGGTTATAATCAATTTGTTTCCATTGCAAAGACCATCATATTGATTCAAATTACGCAGCAACATAATCGGAATGCCAATTTTCATATGCAATTCATGTTTAGGCATGTCGGAGCACATCATAGAATTAAGAAATTCGGTCGGATAGAGAATTTCATCATCGTTTGAGATACCTGCTGCTTTGCAAGTGCAATCTAAGCTGAAATATGTCTTTCCATCTGTTGGCAGACTCTGGGTGATATAGTCATTCAATCTATGTATTGTCTCATTTTTGGGTGTCAATATTGCTCTCGCTCGCTCTCTCTCTCTCATGTAGTCAATATTATTAATCTGAGTAGATAAATCTGGAAAAACAGCATTCATAATTGCTTCTTCGTGACTAGTATGTTCATCGATTTTCAAGTCTTCAAGTATTTGGATGTAACTCTCATCTTCTACGACGTCCCTTCCTTCTCCAATATCAAGTAACCATTTGTCAAAAGTCTTCAAGTTTTCCAATTCTATTGGGTTTACCAAGTTTGTCTTCAATCTCATGCTTACTGTAAGTCTCAACACTGTTACATGTTTCCAAAGGGTAGATGATGATAAACAGGCCTGGATTATGTCATGTTTTTTCCCTTTTGCTATAATTGGTTGAATCTGTCTGAAATCATCACCCAGGGAAATAGTGAGGCCTCCAAATATTCTATCTGCATTTGATTGATTTTTTAGATAAAATATCTTTTAGAGTTCTGTCAAGAGCTTCAAAGCAATACCTATTTGCCATGGTGCTTCATCCCAAATGATCAAAGCTGTTTGCTCGAGTAGTTTTGCCAATTGTATCCCCCTTTTACTTTCCTTAGTGATATCTAAAGGAATTCAAAAACGTGAATGTGCTATTCTTCCACTGGATAGCAACAATGCAGCAATTCCTGATGTAGCTATAACCAGTACAATTTTACCCTTGGATCTTAATTTGGCCATGATTGTTGACCATAGGAAGGTTTTGCCTGCTCCACCATGTCCATAAACAAAAAATGGTGTTCCCCTTTGATTGTTGACTGAATCAAGGATTGAATCGTATATGCATCTCTAGCCATTGTTGAGACCTTTGTATAAATCATTGTGCAGTGTTTTGATGTTGTTGATATCATAATCTAACTCCTCATCAATTAATCTATTATGTGAATTCTCAAAAATGGAACAATTTGGAATTGGCATTCCAAGGAAATCAACCAAGGATTTTCCTGCCTTTTTCATCAGCTCTTCAACCTTGAACAATGCATGATTTTGAATATGTTCCTCAGTGCATCACAATTCTATCATCCGCATTTTCTGTTTAAGAATGTAGGAAATGTCTTCAGATAGGCGTTCTGCATTTGCTCTCCATAAGTCTCCTGGACTCACCACTTCATTATATACAAGAATAGTTACAAAGAGTTGTCTTAACTGTCTTCCGGTAGCCCACGTTGATGCTTAATCCAAGCAATCATTCCACCTTTTATCATCATCTAGCAATCCTAATGCATAACATGCATCTTTGAATGTACTGAATATTTCTCCGTTGACAGTTCGAATATCTTCAAATGATGTTGCTCCTCTTACTATGTTTAGAAACATTCGCAAATAGTATTTCTCACCAGTACCTGGAATTGCAAAATACACCCTGCCAATACACCTTGATTTTTGTCGTGGGGACCATTTTCTTTCTGTATCCTTTCAAACCCATTTGCTTGGAAAATCAGGATAAGTCAATGATCTTACGGAATGGTATCGTTGATTACACTTCATCCATTTAGTCAATTTTGTTTGCATAACAACCTTGCTTTCCAAAAGTTTAACCAAACACTTAGTTGGATAAAAAATAACTGTTTGTTCGTTCTCTAAGTGGAATGGCAATCTTTCAACAGCCCGTTCTCTGGAATAATGTCAAACTAAAATATCCACTAGCAAGCTTCCATAGAAGAGATATATATGTAATGTTTTTGATTGAATCAATTAATATTATATTTATAACAAACATGAACAAACAATATAAAAACATTATATTTTATGTATTCTATACATACTTGCAGTCTAGATATGCCTTTATTTCATCTTTGTTCTATAAAATCTCATATTGATTGTTCTATTGACCATTGTTTTCAATTTCCATAGAAACTCTTGTTCTGTCCGAGCCTTTGTTGACATACTTGAATAGATACTTGATTGATCTATGTTGATTACATATTTCAATATTTATTGAGCATCAAACTTAACCAAAAGATTCCTATTATAAGGAACAACAAAACGGTTATCTAGTTTGATTCCCTTTTTCTCAACAAATGCTTTATTATTCTGTCTTCTGTACATTGGGTATTCGTTATCATCCACAGATGTTTGATCGAAAAATTTCTTTGGAAAATATTTTTTACATCTTCCTCTCTCCATACATGGTGAATTCTTGTTGACATCACCGCATGGACCGTGGATCATGTGATTCTTGACGGTTGCAAAGGCAACACGATCAGTTTCCTTATTTGGTATTTTAACAGAAACTATTTCATCTATTTTGGATGCCGAAGGATTCTTGTATTTGGAATGTAGAAAAATCAATACATCAGCATGTGGGAGGCCTCTCTTTTGGAACTCGAAAGTGTAGATAACTACAAAAACAATTATAACGTGTTCAACGATTGTTGGTATAATATAATTTCATATCATAAATCATCAATGAACCAGATTTTTTAAAGAAAGTAAAAATATTATTGATTGGATTACTTACTTGCCACTGTTTCACCACAATATTCATCTTTTTTTATCTCTCACATTAGCTCAAGCAATTTGATCTCAAAAACACTACAAACTGCAGTTACTCTACCTTCTTGATCACATTGTCCAATACAATTCTGTAGATATTGTATCTCTGGCCACTTGGGATTATAGGTGAACGTCAGAAAATATATGGATATCTAAAACATCTGCAAATCGCCACTGCATCTTGATAATTCTAAACACAATATCAGGGACTACTAGTGTGAGATGAAGGGAGCAACGTAGATTTCCCTAGATGTTGTGCATTAACATCATCTTTTGAAATGACATCCATCAACCCGCTGTACAAATCACTCCTCAATTTTTTTCTAATTGTTTCTAATCCAACAAAATCTTTCCACTTCAACAGCCATATATGCATCCACAATATATTGCTGCAATAATCTACCTGATCTCATAAGAGTATGCCCTTCATGTAATCTATACTGCAATCGAAATGCATAATATTCTCTCATGCTCAACCTGTTTCTCTTTGATGACTTTTTGTCAGGAAACTCTTTATGGTTAATGTCAATTATGTATCCATCTTCTCCATATAGGAATAATATTGGATAACTTAATGCCATAAAGCTTGGATGCAAGTAAGAAATTCTTTGAAGACCCTTTTTTGAATGATGAATATTTTCCAGTTTACGAAATTCCAATATCACCAACAATTAAACCCGCAATTTCATATGCAGTTGGCAAATTGTATTGTCTTCCATCTTTTTCCCTTTTCATTTTTAACCACAAATGCATATTTCTAATATCATTCCAATGCATATGGTTCCTGGCAGAATGAAAACTTTTAACCAATTCATTGTTCGCATCAAATATCAATTGCAATTCCTACACTAATTCTCTGTCAATAGTACCATCGGCTGTATTATCTCATATAGAATTTAATCTATGACTGGTTTCATACTCTATGTCATAAATATAAAGCTGTGCAAACTGAGGTTTCCTTCCTTCAGGTGGAAGTAACAATCCTATTCGGTGGTAATTATGTCCGCAAAGTTTGAAAACGTATGGATCACCCCCTTGGTTTTTTTCATGGTCAACATGCCCTCCCATCGATGTAAATGAGAACAATGAATTGCATATCCTTATTTTGCTTCTGAAACTAATCCCCTTGTTACCACTGCCCATATCCAATAAACTTTTTAATGGTTCTAGCGATACTTTCAATAACGGCAACTGAACTTTGCGATCCATACAACATAATGAAAACAAAGGGATGGTTGACTCTTGGTTCTTAATAGTTTGCTCTTCATACCACATGACAGATCCACAATGAAGGCACTTGTAGGATGGTTCACCAAAGTTCCAGGACTCTTCTTCCACTGTGCAAAGAAATAATGTGATACTTTTAGAAATTAATAAAGTTATTACTTAGATGTGTTCTGTTAATTTGGGAACTCACAATGACATTTTTTTTCCAGGTAACTTTAATATTTGAGTTAACATTTAAATATGTATAACTAACACTATGACATTTGTTACCTCTTTCTGTTGAGCGAGATTTTGAACCTCTATTTGTCTTTGATAAAGATTTCTTTTGTTTTTTCAATGTTTGACCTGGAAATGAAAAAAAAAAAAAAATCATCACAATATTGAACAACACTTGCACTGTTAAAAATTGTTTGGCAAAGTTCCACACCTTTATTTTTACAATGTAATGAAATAACATTATGTTTTTAAAATATAACAAACTGAATGTTTAAATGTATGTTGTCAGATTCAAAACTCACGATTGTGTTGTTCTGCATTAGTAATTGGAATATTAGAATCAGGGTCTGAACATGGAGAAGCACCAGAAAAACATAGATTTAGTTAGCCAATTTAACTTATCATAATCTAAAAAACATAGGAAATCACTAATATGATATTTTTTACCTCTCTTCCTTTCTAATTTAGACATCCTCTATGTTCTATTTTCCTCGTGTATCTCATTTACATTTACAAAAACATTTGAAGGACTTGTTGAACCCTTTTCTGTGTTTGATACACATTGTTTCTGTTTTTTAGATCTCTCATATGGATTTCAAAATAATAATATTAGAATTAATACTATACCATGCAACAAATTATATAATAGAAGAGCTTAACCAAAAGGCAAAAATAGTAATTAAATATCTCATTTATATTTATAGAAGTATTTAAAGAAATTATTATGACATTTATTACCTCTTTCTGTTGAGCGAGATTTTGTACCTATATTTCTCTTTGATAAAGAATTTTTTTTTTGTTTTTTCAATGTCTGACTTGGGAATGAAAAAAAAAAAAAAAAAAAAGGTCATCACAATATTCAACAACACTTTCAATGTTAAATATTGTTTGGCAAAGTTCCACACCTTTATTTTTACAATGTAATGAAATAATATTTTGTTTTTAAAATATAACAAACTGAATGTTTGAATGTATGTTGTCAGATTCAAAACTCACGATTGTATTGTTCTACATTAGTAATTGGAATATTAGAATTGGGATTTGCATATGGAGAAGTACCTGAAAAACATAGATTTAGTCAACTGATTTAACTTATCTAATCTAAAAAACAGAGGTAACCACTAATGTGATATTTTTTACCTCTCTTTCTTTTTAATTTAGACATTCTCTTTGATCTATTTTCCTCGCGTATCTCATTTACATTTACAGAAACATTTGAAGAACTTGTTGAACTCTTCTCTGTGTTTGATACACATTGTTTCTGTTTTTTTAGATCTCTCATATGGATTTCAAAATATTAATAATAGAATTAA